GGGATTTTGGGGGTTTGGGATTTTGGGGGTTTGGGATTTTGGGGGTCAGGATTTTGGGGGTTTGGGATTTTGGGGATCGGGATTTTGGGGGTTTGGGATTTTGGGGGTTTGGGATTTTGGGGGTTTGGGATTTTGGGGGTTTGGGATTTTGGGGATCGGGATTTTGGGGATCGGGATTTTGGGGGTCGGGGTCCCTGGGGTGCCTCAGCCCCGCTTTATCCTCAGCTTTATCCTTTTATCCTCAGTTTTATTCCTTTATTCTCAGCTTTATCAACTTAATAATTTTATCCTCAGGTTTATCCTTTTATCCTCAGTTTTATAATTTTAATTCTCAGTTTGATCCTCAGTTTTATTCCTTTATTCTCAGTTTTATCTTTTTATCCTCGGTTTTATTTCTGTATCCTCAGTTTTATTCTTTTATCCTCACTTTTATCCCATTATTCTCACTTTTATCCTCACTTTTATCCCGTTATTCCCTGTTTCAACATCCGTTTTCTCCTCTTCCCGCTCCATTTCCCATTCCCATGGAATTCCGGGCTGGTTTGGGGATTTTTTGGATCACGTTGATCACCATGCCAGGGAGCTCCTGGATGGGGCAGCCACCGATTCCCTGGGAAATCCCTGAGAAATCCCTGGGAATTCCCTGGGAAATCCCTGGGAAATCTTTGGGAAATCCCCGGGAAATTCCTGGGAAATCTCTGGGAAATCCTTGGGAAATCTTTGGGAAATCTCTGGGAAATCCCCGGGAAATCCTTGGAAAATCTTCGGGAAATCTCTGGGAAATTTCTGGGAAATCCCTGGGAAATCCTTGGAAAATCTTCAGGAAATCTCTGGGAAATCCCCGGGAAATCCTTGGAAAATCTTTGGGAAATCCCTGGGAAATCTCTGGGAAATTTCTGGGAAATCTTTGGGAAATCCTTGGAAAATCTTTGGGAAATCTCTGTGAAATCCCTGGGAATTCCAGCCCCTGCCCCCCTGGCCGGCAGGAATTCCTTCCCAATTCAGGAATTCCCATTTTCCCGATTCAGGAATTCCCATTTTTTTCCCCAATTCAGGAATTCCCATTTTTTTCCCGATCCAGGAATTCCCATTTCTTTTCCCCATCCAGGAATTCCCATTTTTTTCCCGATTTCCCATCCCCTCGTGCTCCAGGCCCTCGTTCAGAGTCACCAGGGCGGGGCCGGGTGCAGGAAAACGAGAAGAAAACTCCTGGATTTGGTTAAATCTGATTTAATAATTAACAATTACTGACCCCGCTGGAGGAGAGGAACAATTCCAGCTTTTATCTCGGTGGCCTCAGTTGCCAAAGTGACCACAGTGACCACAGTGGCCATGGTGGCCTCGATGACCACATGGCCATGGTGACCTTGGTGACCACAGTGACCATGGTGACCTCGATGACCACATGGCTATGGTGACCTCGGTGGCCTCAATGACCACAGTGACCATGGTGACCTCGATGACCACATGGCCACGGTGGCCTCGGCAGGTACAGTGACCATGGTGGCCTCAGTGACCACAGTGGCCACATTGGCCTTGGTGACCTTGACCACAAGTGACCACAGTGGCCTCAATGACCACAGTGATTGTGGTGGCCAACTTGGCCTTGATGACCCCAATGGCCACAGTGACCACGGTGGGCATGGTGGCCTCAGTGACCTCGATGACCACAGTGACCATGGTGTCCTCGATGACCACAGTGACCATAGTGACCTCAATAACCACAGTGACCACGGTGACCTCGATGACCACAGTGGCCACGGTGGCCCTGATGACCACAGTGGCCGCAGTGACCTCAGCAGGTTCAGTGACCACGGTGGCCTGACGGGTCACGGTGGCCACAACGGCCATGGTGACCATGGGGACAGCGATGGTGACCCCAGTGGTCCCAATGCCCGGGGTGGCCACAGCGGTCAGAGGGGTCACAGTGGTCGTGGTGGCCTCTGTGGCCTCGGGAGCTACAGTGGCCATGGTGGCCAGCGTGGCTGTGGTGGTCACAGAAACCCCGGTGGCCCCAATGCCCAGAGTGGCCACAGAGGCCATGGTGGCAGTGGTGGCCTGGGTCAGCTTGGAGGGCTTGGTGGCCACAGTGGTCACGGTGGCTGCGGTGGCCTCACGGCTCAGGTGCTCTCTGTGGCCATGGTGGCCGCACTGGTCACAGTGGTCAGAGTGGCCCCGGTGGCCACCATGGCCACGGCAACATTGGTGACTCAAGTGGCCAGAGTGGCCCAAATGACCCCGGTGGCATCAATGGCCACAGTGGCCAAAGTGACCGCGGTGGCCTCGGTGGCTTCATTTCCCTGGGGGTCCTGGTGGCCTTTGTGCTCAGGGTGGCCACAGTGGCCCCCAAGACCTCGGTGACCTTGGTGGCCTCGTGGCTCAGAGGGTTCCGCTGGCCACTGCCATGGCCACGGTGGCCAGGAGAAGCCCCCCGAGCTGGGGGGGGTCGCTGGGCAGGCTCCCACCTGGGGACACAAAGAGGGGGCTCAGGGGCCATGCAGGGGTCGGGGGGGTCAGGGGGGGTCTGGGGGTGTGGGGGTCAGAGGGGGCCACAGTGAGGTCCCTGTGCCCTGTCCCCAGTCCCGGGGGTCCTTGTCCCCAGCCCCGGGAGTCCCTGTCCCCCCACCCCAATGAGTGTCCCCAGTCCCGGGGGTCCCTGTCCCCACCCCAGGCCGTGTCCCCGGTGTCCCCAGGGGTCCCTGTCCCCACCCCAGGCCGTGTCCCCGGTGTCCCCAGGGGTCCCTGTCCCCACCCCAGGCCGTGTCCCCGGTGTCCCCGCGCTGTCACCTCGCAGCCACTCGCAGTTGTACTTGCTGAAGGTCCCGCTGGAGTTGAGGTGGATCCGCGTTGTTTTCCCTTCCTGGGTGACTTTGGTGACCCTGAAGGTCTCGAAGGGCAGCACCAGCACCTCCTGCTCGCCGGGGTTGTAGGAGAAGTTCTGGATGATGGCTCCATGGCAGGTGTTCACCTGGAGCAAGGTGACGTTCCCCTGACCCTGAGCCACCTCCCGGCTCAGCGATGTCACCAGGAACTGACCCAACCTGACGGCGCGGCCGGGCCGGGCGTCCAACCAGACATCCCCGAACCCCCAGAACCCCAACCAGCCATCCCTGAACCCCAACCAGCCATCCCTGAACCCCCAGAACCCCCACCAGCCATCCCTGAACCCCCACCAGCCACCCCCCAACCCCCAGAACCCCAACCAGCCATCCCTGAACCCCAACCAGCCATCCCTGAACCCCCAGAACCCCCACCAGCCATCCCTGAACCCCCACCAGCCACCCCCCAACCCCCAGAACCCCAACCAGCCATCCCTGAACCCCAACCAGCCATCCCTGAACCCCCAGAACCCCCACCAGCCATCCCTGAACCCCCACCAGCCACCCCCCAACCCCCAGAACCCCAACCAGCCATCCCTGAACCCCAACCAGCCATCCCTGAACCCCCAGAACCCCCACCAGCCATCCCTGAACCCCCACCAGCCACCCCCCAACCCCCAGAACCCCAACCAGCCATCCCTGAACCCCAACCAGCCATCCCTGAACCCCCAGAACCCCCACCAGCCATCCCTGAACCCCCACCAGCCACCCCCCAACCCCCAGAACCCCAACCAGCCATCCCTGAACCCCAACCAGCCATCCCTGAACCCCCAGAACCCCCACCAGCCATCCCTGAACCCCCACCAGCCACCCCCCAACCCCCAGAACCCCAACCAGCCATCCCTGAACCCCAACCAGCCATCCCTGAACCCCCAGAACCCCCACCAGCCATCCCTGAACCCCCACCAGCCACCCCCCAACCCCCAGAACCCCAACCAGCCATCCCTGAACCCCAACCAGCCATCCCTGAACCCCCAGAACCCCCACCAGCCATCCCTGAACCCCCACCAGCCACCCCCCAACCCCCAGAACCCCAACCAGCCATCCCTGAACCCCAACCAGCCATCCCTGAACCCCCAGAACCCCCACCAGCCATCCCTGAACCCCCACCAGCCACCCCCCAACCCCCAGAACCCCAACCAGCCATCCCTGAACCCCAACCAGCCATCCCTGAACCCCCAGAACCCCCACCAGCCATCCCTGAACCCCCACCAGCCACCCCCCAACCCCCAGAACCCCAACCAGCCATCCCTGAACCCCAACCAGCCATCCCTGAACCCCCAGAACCCCCACCAGCCATCCCTGAACCCCCACCAGCCACCCCCCAACCCCCAGAACCCCAACCAGCCATCCCTGAACCCCAACCAGCCATCCCTGAACCCCCAGAACCCCCACCAGCCATCCCTGAACCCCCACCAGCCACCCCCCAACCCCCAGAACCCCAACCAGCCATCCCTGAACCCCAACCAGCCATCCCTGAACCCCCAGAACCCCCACCAGCCATCCCTGAACCCCCACCAGCCACCCCCCAACCCCCAGAACCCCAACCAGCCATCCCTGAACCCCAACCAGCCATCCCTGAACCCCCAGAACCCCCACCAGCCATCCCTGAACCCCCACCAGCCACCCCCCAACCCCCAGAACCCCAACCAGCCATCCCTGAACCCCAACCAGCCATCCCTGAACCCCCAGAACCCCCACCAGCCATCCCTGAACCCCCACCAGCCACCCCCCAACCCCCAGAACCCCAACCAGCCATCCCTGAACCCCAACCAGCCATCCCTGAACCCCCAGAACCCCCGGTGGCAGCGCCGGGGGTCCCACAGCCTCCGCAGGGCCTCGCCGAGCAGGAAATGCAGAGCTTTGGAGTGGAATCCATCGCGGTATTCCCGGCCGGAGCTCCCGGCGCGGCCGCGTGGAACCCCGCGCTCGGCTCCTCCATGGTGAGGGCCAGGAGAGCGATGGCCTGGGCCGGGCTCAGAGGGGCCGGGCGGGGGTCTCGGGAGGGGTCTCGGGAGGGGTCTCGGGACCCGTGGTGGCCTCGTCCCAGAGCCGGGCCAGGTTCTGGTTGTGCCGGAGCTCGGCGTCGCTCAGGTTCTCCAGGATGGTCACGGCATCGCCGCAGCCCCGGTACCGATCATCCAACGAGCCCGGGACCCAGTGCGGGGGCTCCACACCCACAGCGCCGGCCACGGTGGCCACGGTGGCCACGGGCAGGGCCAGCAGGGCCATGGGGGGCAGAGAGCACCGGGAGCAGTGCGGGACACTGGGGACAAAGGGACACTGTGTGACACAGGGGACACTGGGGGACACTGAGGGACACAAGGGGACACTGGGGACAGGGAGAGGACACTGTGTGACACAGTGGAACACTGGGGGATGCTGAGGGGTCCCAGGGGACACTGAGGAACACTCAGGGGGACACTGAGGACATGGGGGGACACTGAGGGACACTGATGGGCTCCAGGGGACACTGAGGGGACACTCAGGGGCCCCAGGGGACACTGAGGACATAGGGGGACATGGGGACCCTCCTTGCTGAGGGGCTGGGGAGGGACAGTGAGCTCAGCCCGGGCAGGGGGGACAGCCCCGGCCAGGAGACCCCTGGGTGTGTCCTGGGAGCCTGACCCCAAATGCTGGGGTCACTCCTGGACACCCCAGTGTCCCCAGTGTCCCC